TTTATATATTTAGCAATTTTTATTTAATTAATGTTTAATGTTTATAACATTATTGTCATCATCATTTTATAAATACATACGTTTTTATTTTATTTATTTATATTTTGAAATAGTTAATTTATTCTTTATATATTTTTGTCTTTATGTTAAATTAATACTAAAAACATGTAATGTTTAACAAAATATATTAATTTTTATTTTAAAAACCTGTATATTACACGGGACTCATACCTAGTTATGTATCAAAAATCAAAAATACTCTAGTAAGAAGCAAGACACAAAATAATAATAATAATAATAATGATAATAATAATAATATTCCCTCCGTCCCAAAATTATTGTCCACAGACAAAAAACACACAGATTAAGGAAGCATTAATTTCCACTAACTTTATATAATAAAATGACAATTTTGTCCTTACTTTGCATTTAATGTTCTATTAAATGTTTATTTGGTTAAGTAATAATGATGAGGTATTTGGTAATGTTATTTATTTTTAAAAGTTGACTATTATTTTGGGACAAACCAAAAAGAAAAGATGGACTATAATTTTAGGACGGAGTGAGTAATAAGTTACACAAAACTACTTCCAAGTTCGAACAATCCAATACCGAATTGCAACACCAATCAATCTATTTAAGACTAGAAAATCTCAATGACTTGATATGCTCAATTGCTCATATCACATCACATAAAATAATAAAGTTGAATCTCACCTACAAGTTTAGGAACGATATCACAAACTTTCTTAAAATATTGGTTTCTGGCTTTCCATTAAGAACCAAAAGAGCACCAACCTCCGACCATCTAAAGATCCAATGCCAAAGATTAAGCCCATACTCATATGAACAAAAAATATTTGATTTGCTCGGAGTATCCAAATCAAAATTTTCAAAATCAAAATCATTTAAAAGACATAAATACCCTTCTCATCTTAGTCATAAAAGATAAACCTAGAAAGCGTACTATTGAGTTCCATCGCACCTAGTTTTGTCTCATGTAACGAATACAACTCGAATGCATCATGAAAGATGTACCGAAAAGGTCAAGATGAGAAAAAGACGTAAATACCCTTCTTATACTGCTCACAAAAGCTAAACCTAAAAAGCCTACTATTCGGTTTTGTCTCATGTAACAAACACAACCCAAATGCATCACCAAAGATAACCAATGGCTCATAAAACATTCAATCAAACCACAAATCAAAGCTTCTTAAATGTCAAATTTAACAAATTCCTTATAACTACCATGCCAAAAGTCTTAAAATAGATGTATCCAAAAGGTCAAATAAGAAAACAACAATAAAAAACCGGGTGAGAAAAAGACATAAATGCCCTTCTCATCCTCATGTTTCCTTAGCGGGACCCTTCTTTGCCGCCTCAGCAGCCGCCTTTTCTGCTTCAATCTCTGCAACAATGGCATCAATTTCAGCCTCCTCAAGTTGCCTCAGCCCTTCCTTTGTCATCACAGCAACTTCTATATTCTTCCCTCCACTTTCAACAACCTAAACACATCATAAATCATAATCCCTAAGTTTTACTTCCAAAACAAACAAAATTAAAATAAATTTTACTCTAAAAAACACTTACTTCAAGCAAAGCACGAATGGCAAGTTTGATAGTTTCTTGACCAGATGTCTCTTTGTAATTCTTTTCAAGAAATTCCCTCATGGAATTGGAGTTTCTACCAGTGGCATTAGCTTTCCAAGCAGAAAATGTTCCTGAAGGATCAGTCTGATATAATGATGGAACACCAGTATAAGGATCAAATCCCACAATTAGAGTTGAAAGCCCAAATGGCCTCACACCACCACTTTGTGTGTACTTCTGTTGAAGACCTGCAATGTAACGTGTGATATATTCCACAGTTACTGGATCTTCAACAGTTAGCCTATGGCTTTGACACTCGATTCTTGCCCTGTTGATAAGAACACGGGCATCTGCTTTAAGTCCAGCACAAGCCAATGCTATGTGATCATCCAAGCTTACAATTTTCCTAACTGATCTGCAAACACAGGTAAGTAAAAGTTTCAGAAAAGAATAAATAAGAACACACAAACATACATGCCATAAACAATCAGTAAAGTAAAGGATTTGTATGTAGATTGTAGCCAACATTTCAATTCTCTCCATTCAGCTCTAATACACGACATAATCTTCAGATCCGAATTCGGAGCTGATACAAAATCGCAATTCCAGTGTATATGATTTATAGTGTCACTGAAAAGTCGAAGAGCAACTTTATGTGCTCAAAAGGCTGTTAATTTGTGAAAACTGGATCGCAATTAGGGTTTGAAATGTACGAGCATGTCTGCGGATATTTCGCATCAGTATTGGCAAATATCATTTGAAGGTAAACGAAGAAGATGAAATCGCAAATAAATGGTGTATACACAAATGAAAACAGAAGTAAATTTAACCATAGCTCTTCCTATTGAAGAGTCACGATGATGATTTTCTATTCATGTAAACGAATTACGAGAGAGTTTTGGTGTGGACCTTGAGTCTTGAAGTTTAACGGTGGACTTCTTCTCGACGCCAAGGACGATGGTGTCAGTGCCACGAACACCGACGGCGGCGTTACCCTTGCGTACGGCTTCCAGAGCGTATTCAACTTGGAAGAGGTGACCATCGGGGGAGAACACCGTTATAGCTCTGTCGTATCTCGCCATAGCTGATCAGATTCTACCGGAGATTTAGGTTTTCGTTCTCGGATTCGAACTTTTAGTTTTGATCCGGGACCAAAAATACAGAGCTCTTAATAATGGGGGATCTCTCGACTTTGGGAGCAAGGCAACTCATTTAGAAAAGAAACAAATAGACCCCCAAACTTTAAAACATTCTACTTCATCCCCCAAAACTTTTTTTTTCTTCCAGTTTACACCTAACCCTGTGGGTTTAGAGATTAAAAAAAAAAAAAAAAAATCAGATTCGTGTTTTAACCAACGGGCAACCCAACTAGAATGGTGTGACCTTTTTAGTTTTTACACCAAATTTTACTTTATTTCAATCATGTATTGAAATATCACATCAATAATTAATATTTTAACAAAAAGATGATGTATTTTACTATAAATTATTCACAAATTGGTGTAACTTTGTCAAAAAGGGGATTATATATATTTGTATCACATGCTCAACGTATACATATAAAAGCATGGCTAAGAGCGAAATTCGGTTTCCATCATGACATTAAAAGCTAAACAATCTTCAAAATGTACTAATCGTGGTCTAATTCTAATCCAACCCTTTTCCCTCTATACTAAGCCATATTCTTGAAACACATTTGAACATAGTAATTGTAAGCATATACTTGGTAAGTAACAATGATAATATCTCACAAGGAAATCCCAACTCATCAATATCACATCAAGTATAAACAATGTACTCATAATGTAAATGCAATGAGATGACATATATACGAAATGTAACAGAGACTACATCTATGAATCATATGCTACATTTTATGTTTGTTTGATTGTTTCTGTCTTTGTATATTTCCATTGATTGTTAACTTAGATTCTAACACCATCTACACACTATAAACAAAAGAAAAAAAAAACATTAATGAACATACTTACAAATAGACACACATAAACAATTTTACACTAGATTCTAAAATCATTATTTACATTTACATTTTATTTTACTAATTCATCTATTTATCTAAGTATCTTTTAAGGTTGCATTTGTTACACGAGACACAACTATACAGTATGGGATTAGACTAAACTCAACTGTACAAGCTTTTCAATACAATGGATTGTCTGTCCCAGTCTCAGTCCCTGTCCCACCTTCTTAGGTCTTCTGGTACATGACAAACACAGTACAAGGCTGTCTGTTGAACAAACTAGGCATTACCTATCTATAAATGAAACCAACAATCACTTGGATGTTTTTTGGGAATCTTTAGCCTTTATGTCTTTAAGTGCTTTATTCCTCATTTCTTCGGTTGCATCTTTAAGACCAGTTTTTGTAAGCACAGAAGGCGCCACAACTCCTTTTGGATTCATTGCGGTTCTAATTTTGAAAACTGTCCATGCAGCTCCTACCGCATGGCCCGCAGCATCCAGCCCTTCATTTGTCGCCTTAGCTGCCTCTTCTCCTTATCTACACACAAACAAATTACACTGAACAGGTTATACTGTGTTTCACATTCATTGTACTGGGTCTGAGACTGATGTCAGTAGTACAAAAAATAGAACAAATATTCATAGACTTACTTGTGGTTGACGAGTTCTGTTGTCACAGTAGATGATGTTGACATTACATTCTTTCCAGAAACTTCAAAAGCATCACAAATTTTGCCTATACACATAAAAAAGTTGCAGTTTTTAGTTTTTTTCATTGACATCTTTTATACCTTTGGATAAAAAAGTAACAGTTTTTTGTTACATTGAGAATAATGTAAGAGAGAACTTACTAAATCCATCAAGAGTCGCGAGTGCTATTTCCCCAGGCAAAAACTTGAAGAACTTCTTGCCAAGTTTAGAGCTAGCAACAGAGCTTGTAAAGAATCCAGTAATCTTCAGAACGCCAGAAAGAAGTCCACCCACAACTGTCTCTGTCATTTTCGTCACCTTATTAACCCTAGAAGAATCACCCACATAGTGAAAATGCAAATATTCACAGAGGAATCTTGGAAAATATATAAGAAAATAGTTTCAACATGAACTTCAAAACCTGTGTATAGCCTTTAGAAGTTCAGGATTAACTGCTGTGTTGCTAGCAGGTCCGATCTTTAGCTTCAAAATCTCATTACCCTTGATCAATCTATCCACTGTAACATCTCCACACCAGAGAATCCCTTTAACAAGTTGCCCTGAACCTGCAGCAATCAATTTTGCAGCCTTCGTACCGTAATCCTCCACATTTGGGGCTAATGTCGTCCAATAAGCTCTACAAATCTGCTCCATCTGTTCCTTATTTGCTTCCATTTTTAGATCTGAGGGACTCATTCGTTCCGCCATTGTCAAATCCAAAGCCCCCTTCTTCTCCTCCACTTTCTGCACCGAGAAACTACTGCAATGCTCCAATAACTCATCCATTTCTTTCAACAACTTCTCTTGTCCTTTCGAAGCAAATGTCAATCCGTAATTTAACGTCATAGCTTCGTGTTCTTTCTCCTTTGGAGCGCGTAACGAGAAGAAATAATGAGACTGGTCTAACTTAACGCAAGCCTCGTGTCTCGCCAAAGGCCATTGGATCTCTTCACCAACGCGTGCGAGAATGGCGATCAGACTGTCGGATTGACGTAGTTTGACTATCGAGAAATCTCCCATCGCTAGTTGCACGCTGTGATTCTTATCGATTAAATGTAGGATTGCGCCTGGAACAGAAACGATAACTTCTTCAAGTGATTCGGATGGATCGTGTGGCGAATTTGGGCCAGAGTCCGTGAAGAGATTGTCGGATTCGTCATTCGTATCTGCGTTTGGGTGAAGCGACGATGACGATGATGATGGTTGATTAGGGTTTGATGACGAGGGTAATGGAGGTGCGGAAGGGCTTTGGGATGTATCGCTTTTAGGGCACATTAGGGTTCTTGGAGATTTTGGGGTGGAATTAGGGTTTTCTGACGCCATGTTTGTTGAATTTGGGGTGAGGAAGATCAAGATACGCTAGGGGAACATGGCAATGGCAATCTTAACTGCCCGAAAATGAGAATCACGAAGAAGAAGAGCGCGTGGGCGTACAAATACGCGCGAAAGAAACAGTTGAATCTCTCCTTGTTCAACTTCTTTCACTTGCGTCTACAAGTTTTTTATAATAACATGTTTTACACTTTTATTTTGATATTTTTCAATTTGGTCCTCCTGCCCCCGACATTAAATATTTTTATAGCGGACATTTACCCCAATAACCAACTTTTCCAAATATCATCTCATTAAAAAATTTATAAACTAACCAAGATCTTCAAATAAATAAATAAATAAGATTTATCGTATTCTAGTAGTGGCATAGTGGTCTCGGTGCATAAAGCCTAAAATGATTTATTTGTATCCTAAAATAACTTTGAAAGTCTATACTAAAACGTACAGATTGGGCTTCACAAATCTTCAAAAATGAAAAGATATGTAAATTTTCTGCTTATTTCTTCATATATAGTGTAATGTGAAGTATTTTGTTAAGTTTTTAGATGAAAAAGCATTGTGAACATCAAGAACATGTTTGAAAATGATACACCAATTTTGGAATATGTTCTTCATGTTTGCAAATGTGTTTCTAGGTTTTATTTAAAGAGTGTTTATGTTGGTGATTTTAGTGTCACCATGTCATTTTAAGTAACTGAAACTAACATGTGAGCTAAGGGGCTTCATAATTTGTACTATATTATATGTACGGGGTTGTGCGGAGTGCACGCATGTATAAGATCGAATTAGAAGCCGGTTCAACGACTAGTCGGGGGTCCGGGGGCAGCGCCCCCGGGTCCGGGGTTTCTAAAGGGGCAGCGCCCCTTTGGCGGGGTCCAAGGGGCAGAGCCCCTGGCTGGGGTTGTCGAGGGGCAAAGCCCCTGCAGGGTTTGGGGCAGCGCCCCAAAACCTCACCGAATTTTACATATGGGAACATAATGGAAAATTCATTTTCTTGAGGGTGATTATGGTAAAACTAACGAAACTCGTTAGTTTTTGGTAACCCTAAATCCTCATTAAATCCGGATTAACATTGTTTGCTTCCAAAGCAACTAATGACAACTCAACCCTAATGAAACCCTAATCGTGTTTAATATATAAACAGCTCTTCCTCTACAGAAGAGGGTTACGATCTTAA